AGTAAGCGTCATTTGTTTGTTGCCAAAAATAGTTTGTCTGTTTTTGTAGTTCCCTTTCTTATACGTCTCAAAAGACCGAAAAATTAGTTAGTCAAATCTGATACATTTATCACAATGATCATTGCCCATATTTTGGATTTGAACCACCCCAATTACTATATTAACTGTTCTACCAGCCTAGTACAAAAATGATCGCAAGGAAATGATTTTTATTTCTCAAAGATGTCAATATTGACATTTGTGTTATTGTCAAATTATTAATTTTAGAAATCATGAGCCTTTCTTAGACTATTAATTATGCTATAATGTCAGCACCACAAAAAAAGAAATAAGAAGAACGAAAACCAGCCCTTATTTTCAACTATCCGGATATTTACTTATCGAATAATTAAAACATTATACGAATATCTCAAACGTTAGTGTGCGTGTTTGAGTGTAATCAATTTCTTTGACACCATAATTTTTTTTAAAAATTATCAAAATATATTGATTTCAAACTTGTTTTTCAATCTAGCATCATTTGTATGAAACAGTGGTATCCATTCACTCTTTGTAATATAAACGCACTTTTAAATTTTTTCTATTAAAATCGTGGGCAAAAACACGTTCTAACATTGAAAAGTGTAGATTATAACCTTCCTTTCATACAGATAATAGAGGATTAAAAAATAAGTAAAATCATGAAATTTAAAAAAAAAAAAAAAAAGTTAAGATATCAGGGTAAGATGGTAGAAAATTCCATTTTTGTCTGAGAGAAGCCGATTTAGACAAAAAAATAAACGTCAGGTCTTCAACCACTCTCGTCTTAATGCATTACATGGCTACATATATAGTCGTAAATGGATTTTAGATTAGTAAGACAGTGCCCACTTTTCCCACAAGACAACGACTCAAAACACATTTGCTATTCTACGTGTTAGTATCTCTAGAAATAATGGTGTCCCAATTTAGGATTTTGGAGTATTATTTTTGAAATAATGCATTAGTACGATATAAATCCAAAAATTACACTATCAATGAACAGGAATGATAAATAAACAGAATTAGTATCTAGCATAAATAACCCGTTTTTAATACGACAAATTTGATCTAATATTTTCCTATCTTATCTAGTACTATATGAGTTGTTCTAGAACTATATGATTTTTTTCCATTTTATTGGATAAAAAACTACTAAGTAGCACAATTGAATGAGTGACGAGAAAGGCTAAAGAAGAGCTTAATTGAATTGTAAGAACTAAAATGTGAAAATTGGTGACTTATTGAAAAACTAGCAATAACATCATGTTTGAAGACATTATACAATATTAAAAATCGAGTTGATTTTGAAATATTTGTATTTGAAATAATAATTTAATTTTTTTAATTACTTAAGTTAAAATTAAAATGAAGAGAGAGTAGGTGTGAATTGATGTGATTGTTTAATATTGAGGAGTCTGTTAATTGAGTTGTCTGAAATTGGTGGTCATGTATAAAAATTAACTGTGTCAGCGTTGGCATTGGTGTAACGATTATACTATATCAGCGTTGGCAAAACTATGTGATGTTACCATCTAATACAAAACTTAGAAAATGAATAAAGTAAACCTCTCTTTTCACATAGAGTGGTGCACATTATATGAATGGGAGGTTATTGAAATTAGTGGACAATTACACCATATGACACTTATGACGTGATATAATCAATACGTGACATTTGAATACAATACCAAAGGGGTTTGTATTTTAACCATAGCCGGTTTGTGTGGTAAAAAAAATAGATTCATCAATGACTTGTCAAACAAATGAGTCAATAAACTTGACTAAACACGATTATACATGACATGAAATTTATAAAGCGAATTAAACAATACACAAATATTAATAAATTAGATAGATATTGAACAAATTTGGACAAGGCTCAACTTAGACAGTTTGAAAGCATGATACAACACAAGATATGTTGACGATCCTAAAATAGTGGTCATTGAACGGGTCAAGATCTATGTTAATATATTCTTCTTTCAATTATATCAATGTTATATTAATTATAGAATATATCGTTCCGCACGCTTCATCAATACATAATCTAATAGGACTATTGGTCAAATTTATCATTTCACTTTAAATTTCTAAAACGAGTGGAGAATGAGTTCTTTTAGCTGTGTTATTTGTATGAAAACACAGCTATAATCTGCACTTTTCAAGGTAAGAACGTGTTTTTTGCCCACGATTTTAATTGAAAAAAAATTAAAAGTGCGTTTATATTACAAAGAGTGAATGGAAACCACTGTTTCATACAAATGATGCTAGATTGAAAAACAAGTTTGAAATCAATATATTTGGAAATTGATTACGCTATAATTTTTATACATGGTAGTTTAGAACTACCATAAAAAAGAAAAAAAAAAGAAGCAAAAATTGGATTTGAGTCTTCCTTAAGAAATTTATAATGAGTTTAGTCTGTCAAGGAAAACCTTCTAATGACTTAAAAACAGTCTTCAATATTAAATCAATTTTCTAAACAGTTATCCATTGATTCATGCTTAATGGAAGATTTTGTTGATTTTTTCTACAAAATCTGAAATTCAAATTTACCTCTTAATTCAATGTTAATAGAGATATGCAATAAAATCTTTATCATAAATTTGAAATTCAAATCCCAGTTAAGCTATTCTCTCTCCTCTTCGTTCTCACTGGCAGATATTCATGCTCTCCAGAGCAATAGCAGCATGATGCTCTCTTCGCTGCCATGGACGGACCAATAGCAGCCTCATGATCTCTTCGCTGCCATGGATAGAGCAGTAGCAGCATCAACCCAACAGCCGAGGTCGGGGAAGACTTTGAAAGACGGACCAAAGAAATAAGAAAAGCAATGCTATGTAATTCAAATCTGAAATCCAAATTTACATCCCAAATACAGGGGATTATTGGATCAGTGAGTCTCATTTAAAAAAGTTGATGGAACTCTCTCATTCAACGGTCCCCTTAATTTGCGATACAAATTTGAATTGTAAATTTGGGATTCATAGTATTTCTCAAATAAGAATAGAAGCAATGGTAATTGAAAATTCCTGGTTATTTATTGTAGAATCAATAGTATGCTACCTTTTAGAGATAGATATTTGATCGTAACAGGTAATTTCTTCGAGGTCTACAGTGTTGTTATTTTTTGTTAATATTGAATATTATTATTTTTTGTTTTGATTGTTACTATTTTTTGTTTTATTTTTTAAATATTCATATTCAATGTTACTATTTTTGTAATTTTTTGTTGTGAATGTTACTATTTTTTGGTAAGTATATTACTGTTTTCTTGCCTATTCATCAGCAATTGCCTATGTTACTAAGCGTTCTTTAGTTATTATTCAATTTGACTAATTTTTTTTAGAATATTAGTATCGAATGCTATTTGTTTTTGAAATGCTATTATTGGATATTAATATTTTTTGTGTTTTGAATCGCACTATTTTTTCTTTTAAATATTAATATTTTTTGTGTTTGAATGTTATTATTTATCTCATATATATGTGTGTGTGTGTGTGAGAGTGAGAGAGAGAGAGAGAGAAATATTTGAAAAAATTTCATCCACACCCCTAGTAGTTAAGTTTAAATTTAATGATACTCCCTCCCGATTCTGAAATTTCACTGCACACCCTTCTGGTTTATACTTTTAAATCAATAACACCCCCTTAATGGTAACTTTTGCCTCTACGAGTTGGTAAAGTAATGATTTAACTAAATATTTTGTGAAAATGTCAAAATTACCTTTTTGTTATATAAATAGACTAAAATACCCACAATCATTTTCTCATTATATATGTCCTAGCCAGTTATAAAGCATAATTTCTATTATTATATTATTCCAATAAATTTTTATCATTTAACAACGTTGCATGATAATTTTGTTATAATATTAGTAATTATGTTATCACTCATTTGGTTACATAACCCAGTTTTTATAATTTTTATAGTTAAAAACGATTTTTCTATAATAAAAATTACTATTGATAAAGTCAATGTCAAAATTTCATCAATTTCTAATTCATATGTTATCGTATGTCCTCCACGTGTCACACAACCACTCTTCACACATCACCTTTTATATATTAAATTTAAATATTATTTGATAAAATTTAATATTAATTGAATAAATTTGGTTTTAATTTGATAAATTTAAATATTGATTTAGATATTAATATTAGTCCAACTCCTAAAATTTAAGAGTTGGTAATTTTCAAATTAAATATAACTATTAGTGGTATTTTGGACAATAAAAATAAAAATAAACTTATTTCAAAATAAGTTTTTCTGAGTTGACTTAAATCTAAATAAGGCCATAGAGGACCGACTTCTAAATTTTTCTAATTTAATATACAATACAATTGAGGGAAAAAGAAACCTATATTTATGTGAATCGAGATCCCATCACGAAATTTTCTGCTCAATTAATACTGCTAGTTGATTTTGTGGTCCTCCTCATGCATAAAGAATGTTTTGCTCAATTAACTTATTTATTTGGCGAGTTGTTGATGGATCTATTTTTTTATCACACAAACTGCTATGGTTTAAACACACTCAAACTCCATTGGTTCTATCACAATTTTGGCATTGTTTTCAAATGTAATGTAACAATTACACAATGTTAGCAATGTCAATATGGTATAATTGTTCCATTATAAGTGCATAAATAGATAAGTAAACCCCACAAATTTCAATAACCACCCATTCGTATAATGTGCACCACTCCATGTGAAAAGAGGCTTACTTTATTCATTTTTTAGGTTTTTTATTAGATGGTGACATCACGTAACACTTTTAATGCTGAAATTGTAGAATTGTTACATGCAATATTTGCTCCAAAAATTGATACGTCTGCACATTTTTTGCATTTTACCTTGATAATTTTTAGCAGGTCAAGTAAAATGAATGCAGTGCATTATTTATACGCAACAAATGACATGGTGACATACAAGTTACAAAATAACACATAAGAGAGTTCAAACTCAGAAATGGAGTGGATGTCTAGTGTGCTTACCTGGCTGAGTGTTTCTTTCTTAGCTTCTCTTCTTCTATTATTCACGTGGACTAAGGCCGCGAAAGGCTCTTCAAAACAGCGACCACCAGGGCCACCAGGATGGCCAATTGTTGGCAACATGTTCGATCTAGGAACCATGCCACACCAGACCTTCTACAAATTAAGGGCCAAGTATGGACCTGTTCTCTGGCTAAAGCTTGATTTAGTAGACACTATGGTCATACAATCTGCCAAGGCTGCTGCTGAGTTATTCAAGAACAATGACCTTCCTTTCTCGGACCGCAAAGTTCCCAAGGCACTCACGGCCTTAGGCTACAACCAAGGATCATTGGCTATGGCCCAGACTGGCGCATACTACGACGACTCTGCTCCATGGAGCTCTTGGTTAACAAAAGACTCCACGAGTCGGCTCCGATCAGGCAAAAGTGCATTGACAAGATGGTCGAGTGGATAGAGGAGGATTCAGCATCGTCGAGTGTCCAGGGTGGATCGGGTGGTGTGGAACTAGTTAGGTTCCTTCACATCATGTCTTTCAACCTTGTTGGGAACCTTATGTTGTCAAGAGATCTCTTGGACATGCAGTCTGTGGCAGGGCACGAGTTTTTCGAAGCCATGAACATGTTCATGCAATGGGCTGGGAAACCTAATGTGGCAGATTTTTTCCCCTTCTTGAAATGGCTCGACCCACTAGGGATCAAGAGGAATATGATCCGCTATATGGGAGGATGCATGAAGGTTGTCGCTGGATTTGTTGGTGAGAGGGTTCATGAGAAGGAATCAAGAAGAGAGAAGGTAAAAAAAGACTTCTAGGACGCATTGTTAGAGTATGAAGGTGATGGAAAAGAATGGGCCTGACAAAATTTCAAAGAAGAACATGAACATCATAATCCTGATAATACAATGCTAACGCCCTTCTGTTGTTAATAATTTTTACCGAAAGTTACTATTTTTTGAGGATAAGTTATACATCTTAAAAATAAAATTCCAACTACATGAAGTGATTCATGATGGATCATGAAGAGTTTTTAATCAATTGAAACTTCACATTTTAAATGTGTAACTATATCTTTAAAACGAACATAGTATTACTTGCCTGGATGGGATCAATGGGTGATCAAGAAGGACCGTGGCCTAGGTTGGGGACTTCCATTGCACTCGGGAGGGGTGTCTTCCTAATGTCTATCCAAGTGGTGGAGCCTATGTCATAATTGGTCAAAGTGGGGGCCTGCGTTCGCGCGACCCTTGTTTTATATATATAAGATGCAATTTTCATAATCGATCATTTAACTAAAGTTCTAATGGTACAGGAAATGTTTTTAGCTGGATCAGAAACTACAAGCAGCACTATTGAATGGGCAATGGCAGAGCTATTACACAGACCTGACTCAATGAGTAAGGTTAAGGAAGAGCTTGATCGAGTCATAGGACCTCACAAGAAGGTCAAAGAGAGTAACATGGTTGGATTGCCATATTTGCAGGCAGTTGTGAAAGAGACCCTTCGATTGCATCCCTCTGTTCCTTTAATGCTTCCACGGAACACAATGCAAGACACAAACTACATGGGCTATCTCATACCCAAAAGCACACAAGTGTACGTAAGTGCATGGGCAATTGGAAGAGACCCTGATGCTTGGGATGACCCTTTGAATTTCAAACCTGAGAGGTTTTTAGGCTCTGATATTGAGTACAAGGGGCAGCACTTTGAGTTGATTCCATTTGGCTCTGGAAGACGAATTTGTGCAGGCTTTTTCCTGGCTTATAGAGTGCTTAACCTTGCTCTAGCCGCCTTGCTTCAGTCTTTTGACTGGGACCTTGATGGCCATCTGACACCAGAAACTATGGACATGAAGGAGAGGATGGGAATAAGTCTGAGGAAACTAGTTCCCTTGAAAGTAATACCCAAAAAACCAGTGGTATGATGATGAAATGATTGCAGGCAATTGGAAATGTGCTCAAACTCTTGCTGGATAAAAAAAATAAAAAACCCAAAAATCCCGTGTATGCTAAACACATAGCTCCACTGACAAGCTGAAATTGTCTGTTAATGTCGTAAGAAAATGAAAGCATGTTAACTAATCAAACTGAAGTCATTTGTACTTTCTCCTACTTGAAAAATGCAGGGGTGGTAGTTATGCTGAATTTCTAGTTATTCGCAGTAGTCTCTAGCGGCAGAGATTTTTCACCTTCCTTGGGGATAGTAGTTCTTTCTGAAAACTTTCCCATAATCTGTTTGGAACCAAAAAAACTCGTCAGTCTCAAAAGTATCCACATCCACTATGGTAATTATTTTTTTCATTTTGTAGCTGAATAACTTCATAAATTAGACAAGGTATTTTGTTAACTACATTTGCACCAAGTAGCAGAAGCTGTTGATCATGTGCTTACCTTCTGAAAAGTTGCTTTCAAGCAAGCCTTGTGTTCTTCCATAGGAGAGTGGATTAACTCATGAAGGTGATGCCTCAAATTGGAGACAAAGATATCATTATCAGACTTATTCCTTTGACAATAAGTGACAGTTGGAGTTGGTGCAGACTCAGTAAGGCTTTTTTCAGCATCCAATCTTTCTATAACCTTGCAGAGAGGCATTATTTAGTTTCTTCCCAACAAAAAAAATTGAAAAATGCAGAAGAGTAACATAAAACTGTATCCAGGCCCCAAGAAAACAAACTACCATTGTGACATTGTCCATTTATATGGACTCATGACTCACAAAAAATTATGCTACTAAAACTTCTTTTCAAAAATTTAGATATTATTGGTGCAATGTGGAGGGTCATGATTACAACCATACCGTCCCGAGGGAAATAATTCATATTGTCTAATAAACCATTCAAATCAAATTCACTCATGAAATCATAGACCCTTCTACCTCATTATTGTACTTGCAAAAACAATTAAAACCATGTATGCTAACCAGAGAGCTCAACATACAAACTGCAATTGTCTGTCAAAATCATAAAGAAGAAGAAAGCCTGTTAACTAATCAAACTAAACTCATTTGTACTCTCACTTAATTGAAAAATGCATGAATTGGACTTATACTGAATTTCTAGTTCTTCGCAGTTGTATCAAGGGGCAAAGAATTTTCACCTTCTTTGGGGCCAGTAGTTCTTTTTGAGAACTTTCCCATTATCTGTTTGACTAGAAATATTTGTGAGTAAAATGAGATATAAACTAAATGTAGAACCTCCGTATATATAGCCAATAAAAATTACAATAAGGATAAAAAGATAAAAAGGTAAAAAAGAAAAAACTTAATAAACCCTAATAAACTAAGATGTTATATCTCCAACACTCCCCCTCAAGCTAGGCGCAAAAATGTCAACTAAGCCAAACTTGACAATTGAGTCCCGAAGAATGGATAGAGAGACAGGTTTGGTGAAAATATTTGTAACCTGATCACTAGTCCCCACAAACGATAGAGTGACAATACCACTATTAACCTTCTCCCAAAAAAAGAAAACATTGATCTCTATATGCTTCGTCCTCTCGTGTAATACAGAGTCAGAAACGAGCTGAAGAACAGATCGATTATCACAATATAATATAGATGAAAAAGTCACTGAAAATCCCAACTTGTCAAGAATCGATCGTAGCCAGATAATCTCACATATGCCAAGTGCTAGTGTCTGATACTCTGCCTCTGCTGCAAGCGAGAGACAACTGACTGCTTCTTGCTCTCCCAAGAGATAAGATGAATCCCTCGAAAAGCACAGAAGCCCGTAGTAGATCGACCGTCACATGTTCCCCCATAATCTAAATCTAAATAACAAGCTAGAGAACCAATCTGAGATCCAGATGCATAGAACAACCCAAGTCCATAACAAGACTTGAGGTAACGAAGAATATGATAAACTGCATCACGATGAGGCTGACATGATCTGTGCATGAACTGACTAACTCGGCTTACAGTGAATGAAATGTCTGGCCTAGTGTTAGCTAGGTAGATAAGTCTACCTACCAACCTCTGATAGACTATCAAATCTCTCAACTCCTCATCTTCAGCAGTAAGCTTCAGATTTTGAATCATGGGTGATGATGCCGGTTTGCACCCCAGCATCCAATGTATGAGAGAAGATCTAGAACATACTTTCTCTAAGAAAGAACAATACCTATGCTGCTATGAGCAACCTCAATTCCAAGAAAGTATCGCAAAAATTCAAGATCCTTCACATCGAAGGCCTTCCCAAGGTCTACCTTAACCTGCGCAGTCCCAGAAACATCATCTCCAGTAATAATAATATCATTAACATATATCAAAAGGATGACACACTGTCCGAAAGTATTCCGTCGAATGAAGCAGGTATGATCAGAATGACATTTGGTGAACCCTAAACATACAACTACATCTCTAAATCGAGAAAACTAGGCTCGTGGTGATTGTTTCAGTCCATAAAGAGACTTACGCAATCGACAAACCTTTTTAGCATACTCCCCTTCACCACGAAAGCCCGGTGGTGCATCCATATAAATAATCTCGTCCAGATCACCGTGAAGAAATGCATTCTTCACATCTAACTGATAAAGAGGTCAAAAGTATTTCACAACCAGAGAAATAATCAGTCGAACAATAGTCAATTTTACCACCGGGGGCAAAGGTAGCACCAAAATCACGACCTGGTAATTGAGTAAAACCCTTCACCACAAGCCTAGCCTTGTGACAATCAATAGTACCATCCGCAAGAAACTTCAGGGTATAAACTCAGCGACAGCCAACAGGCTTCACCCCTGAAAGTAAAGAAGCAAGATCTCACGTATGATTACGCTGAAACGACGCCCTAAATCATCATCCTCCACTGATAATGTCTCATCAGATAAAATAATTGGCTCAGTACCTACAATCTCATCAGTACTAACAACAGGTGCATCAATATACTTAACAAACTGAGAAGTATTACCTGCATTGCCTGGGGTAGAGGGGACATCAGCAGGGGGATGAAAGCGAGGACGACGAACATAAACCTGCAAAAGAATAAAGACTGATGACTCTATACTGACAGGGATGAGTGGCTCTGGATGAGGGGAGACCGATGACCCTGTAGTGATAGTGACCAATGACTCTGACTCTGGTGGTAATGGAAAATCAAAGAGAGTATCATCAACTAGAGGGGAGACACAGGACTGGAAGAAAAATAAGGATATATTCAAAGAAGGTAACATCTAGACTATGATACATACGTCGTCTGACAGGATCATAACATCGATACCCCTTAGACTGATGACAATAGCCCACAAAGACACAACGAATCGCTTTATCATCAAGCTTATGACAAGTAGGAGATCGATCTTGAACAAAACATGTACAGCCAAAAACACGAGGGGGGACCAAAAAAGTGTTCGCTCAGGGAATAAGACCTGTAAGGGAGCCTTATGTTGAAGAATACGACTCGGTGTACGATTGTACAAAAAAGTAGAAGTCAAAAAAGTAAAATGTCAATAAAATTTTGGTACCCCCATACTTCTAAGCATACAACGTACCATCCTTATCATACTTATATTATTCCTTTCAGCAACTCCATTTTGCTCAAGATTATATGGACAAGTGAGCTGCTGAAGGATAACCTGAGAAGAAAGGTGAGAAACTAAGGCATCAAACACATATTTTTTGGCATTATCCGAATGAAGAGCACGAACAATGACATCGAACTATGTTTTAATCATCTAAAAAAATTAAGTAATGACAGGGAGTACATCAGACTTCCTATGCAAAAGGTAGACTCAAGTACAACGGGTATGATCATCTATAAATGTCACATAGTATCGGGCACTTGACAGAGCAATAACAGGAGAAGGTCCCTAAATATCCGAGTGTATTAGGTCAAATAGTTTGAGTGACTGGTGCATGCGAGAAATATAACTAGTCTGAACATGTTTGGATAGAGAACATATAACACAATCAAGTTTACCACTAACACAAGCTTTGCTCAAAATAGGAAATAATATACATAAATATTTAAAATTTATATGCACAAAACGGTCATGCCACAACTGAACAGTTTGTGATGAAAAATCATAACGATAAGTATTAGGTAAAATACTAGCATGTAAGCTAGGAACAGATAAAGACAAAATAGGTGATGGAGGTGGAGGTGGAGAAACTAGTGAAACGAAAGGTGGATTGTATGGTGGATTGCCTAAATAATACAATTCATATTTCTCATGTCCTCTGATAATAATCCTCTTGGTATTCAGGTTGCACAGTGAAAATCTCTGGCTAACTGATGTATAGATAATAGATTCATGGCCAACTTTGGCGCATGAAACACCGAACGTAATATAAAGCCATCTGGGAGGCAGATTGTACCTCCACTAACAATATGGGTATGTGTACCATCTGCTAACTGAACGTGAGTATGTAACTGCTCGTCAAAAGAGGTGAAATGATGGGTCTTACCTGTCATATGACCATTAGCATCTGAGTCCAGCATCCAAAGAGGAGACGAACTGGCACAAGTATGAAAGACATGAGATATACTTGTAGTAATGACAGCAGTAGTAGTCGAACCTTGAGAAGTCAAGGTTGACATAAGTATATTCAAGCGAGAAGTGATAACATCTATATCACTCTGCCACGGAGGAGTAGTAGCAGTAGTAGCATGAGCAATGACTATAGGTGGTGGTGCCTTAGCAATGGCAGCAGTACGGTTGCGATGAGGTGGCTTAAGCTCCGTATGGAGCTTCCAACAAGTAGCCCTGAGATGTTCTAGTCGGCTATAATAATTACACTATCGAGAATTCTCATATCTACGCTGATGTGGGGTACCCTGACGGCGTTGGGCCGAGCGCTGTCGACCCCTATCCTCAGTGAAAGTACTAACAAATGTCTCAACGGTAGGAATCTCAACTCCCTCAGTAGTAGTCATATCATTAATAATACTAGGGACTCGTGACAGAAAAATAATTTTAAGATAAATAGATGGACAAAATAAGGGATAACAATATACCTCTAGTCGAACAATAGCGACAGATAAAGAAGGTCCAGAAAGCTTTCAAATAATCAAGTCACGGTGCCCAGAAATCCAATAAAGATAAATAAGTAATCTATTACATCAAAAGCAGATCACCAAAAAAGAGGATCCACTCCCTCCTAAAAAGAGTCCTAGATACTGCAACTTGGTAGCACTGTGACAAAGTGTGTGAAGAATGAAGCTATAACGAAAAAGTGACTCAACAATGGTCTGATGAATAGACTGGACAGTGACCCAGATTAGGCAGTGGGCTGCTGGGTTGGGTCGAATAATGGGTTGCTGGGCTGGTCTGGTCTGGTCTAGGTTGATTTAATATTTTGATTAAAGGGTTAGTCGGTGCTTTATAGAGGCAGTCGGTGTCGGGTTTTGGTTGTCGGTTTTGATGTTTCAGTGTTATGGTGTTCAAATAATGGTGTTTCGATTTTAATGGAGGCAGTCGGTGGAGTTTCTTTTCGGTTGGGTAGTTGGTTTGTTATTCTTTGCTGGGTTGTCGCTAGTGCAGTCTGGTTTCGCAGGTTTTGTCGTCAGTCGGTGGAGATGGACTGAAACAATAGGCAGTCGGTGGGTTCACGACAATTTGTTAGAGCTTTGGGTTTTTATTTTGTTGTAATTTGGTAT